AATGGGCCAGTCTGCAGATCAACAATAGAGTCATCGATGTCCTCAAGAATGTGAATATCACTGAATTCCAAACTGATTTTTCAGGAATTCATTTTAAATGGAGTCCTCCAATATTTAACTTAGATAAAGCTTATGAACAAAGGTGTTCACTGAAACAAGCACCTTTAAAACTCATTTAGAAACTTTAGTAACAACTGAAACTTCCTAAAAGGGTGCAAAATGAGGTTTAAAAAAAATGACCCTATATAATGAAACATTAAAATGCAGCCATTTTCTGAGTGTATGAGGGAATGGTGGAAACTTCACACATAAGATTACCAGGCCAAGATGCACTAAGATTATACTGCATTACGATCCTGTCCAAGCCAAATGTACACGTCAAGAAGACCAGAATGACAGGCTATCGACAGCAAGTGATCAGGTAATGGAACCAAAGGTGATTCTCCCCTTTCCTCATAAACTTTAAAGAACAAATTCTGAGGGAAGAACAAATTCCAAAAGTTCCTAGAGCACTATATTTCAGCTGAGGAGGAATGGGAAAAGAAGGCTTTATCCTGGAACTTCTGGATAGCAGCAAGCTCATGAATCTGAGGTGTCACTTTGGGATTTCTGGAAATGAAAATGAACCTACCTTTGCAAAGCCACCACCTCCAGAACTGGGGGGAAAAACCTTAAAGAACATGTAGCCTATATTTATTAGATTTTTAATTTTAATTTTAATTTCCTTTTTACTATTTGTTGATTGGTTTAACTGACATATGTCAAGTCTAAGGGACACTCTGGGAAAGAAATACAGTAAAGAAAAAAGATATATGGAATAAAATATACAGAGATCACAGCTCATTTGATCCACACTGGCAGCTAGGAAGACAGAAAAGGACAGAAGCTGGCACGATGCCATGGCACAGGTGAGGGAAATGGATTCAGGGACTCCTCTGGCTTTTGACTTCCAGTCTAGGGCTCTGATTAAAGCATGGTCCTCTTTCCACTATAGCATGTCACCAGCCTGCTACTTCCGAGTACTTACAAATACCTTAGAATAAAAAGATTTTCTTACTCAGAAGAAAAAAGTGACTTAGCAATAATAAGAATGGGCTTTAGCACTGAACAAATCTAAATCAATGTCAAACGCAGCATACACAGCTGGGTAACTTTTTCAACAACTTCTCAGAGACTTAACTTCATCTGTAAACACAGGAATAAAATTATACAGCTTACAGATGTTATAAGAATTAACTGGTCTAAGTATTTAGACCAGTGCCTACCACATAACAAGCAATCATAAAAACTGAATTCCTTCTTACAAAAAGAAGAAAGTTTCTCAACATATTAACCCCAAATTCAAATTTTGTCCTTGTGAGCCACACCAGACTCATTGTTCTACTGGCTTTCAGCAGTCCACCAAACCTTTACCAATTACTGAAGTGCATAATTTAAAATATTAAGACTCACTTAAGATAACAGTTTTAACCAGGGACAACTGCGATCAGTCTGTCAATTTTAAATTGTTTACTTCTGTTGACTCAATATGTAATTAGGCGTCTACATCACAGCCATACAATTCTTTAAAAAGTAATGATGAAATTGTTGTTTCTAACACTTAGAACTAAGATCATTCTCATTCAAATTCAACTACTTCAAACTCCCCAAATAATTTGCTTGATTCATTTCTTGGGGGTTAGGGGGTTACACAAAGAAGAGGAAATGATGGGCACTTTTCATTTCCTCTTCAAGTTAAATTTGAGCATGGAATTCCAAGCTCCAAAGGATGCTTTTCAAAACAGTCCATCCTTTGTATTATGGGGCTATATAGCTGGGCTACCTGGCCAAAGGAGAATGTAGTATTTAATAAAACTTATCTTTATCATCTAAATGAAGAGTCAGGAGGCTGGATGGAAACCCACAGAACCCAAGGATTATATACTTTTCATCTCACTAGCACCTGGACCATATCCATCATTCCCTTACTCAAGGGCTGTGCCCACTGTCAGGTAGAGAAACTAATAGGCTCAAAGGCTGACTAACCAGAGAACTTAAGAACATAAACAAGCCAACACACGGAAAAAAATCATCCTTTGTAGTGCTTATGGTATATAGTTTTGAATGTTGCTGCTAAGAAACAGAAGTTTGAGACTCTTCCACTAGAAAGGAAGTGAGAAACTCTACCATTACTCACTACAGAGCTGTATGTCCTTCACAACTTCTAACCAACCACATACTTAAAATTTTATAATATCTTAAACTATCTTAGCATTTTGGCTACATTGCCAAGATTAATTTATGTTCAGTTTTCTCTGGGCATCAGTAGGGTACATGAAAAAGTTTAACTTTAGAAGGAAGCAGGCTGATATCGCAGATAAACATATAAAGATACACACATACCTCTCTTAAAGATTCTGCTGACTGATACAGTGCTTCTGTGATGATGGGCCTCAGCTGCCCCACTGAAAACCAATACTTCATAGGATTATGAGGGTAAAGTTTTTAAAAATATATAAAGTGTACACCTTTAAGGTGGGATGGGTAGGGGAAGGATAATAAGGTAAAAGAAAAAAATGTTAGAAAATGAAAAGATGGAAATAAAGTGTTTGTAAATGGGGAGGGGAGCAGGGGATGAAGGGAGGGCAGGGACAAGGGGAAAAACTGAGAACCAAGACCTGTCATGTAGAGGTACAAGATTACAACAATGAATGTAACTGTACTGTATCCCTAAAATGTACCAATAAACTCAATTAAAAAATAAATAAAATATATAAAGAGCCTAACCCAAAGTCCTAACACAGCTTGCAGCAGGCTCTCAACATCACTTTCTATCTCTTTCTTCCTACTTTTCATCTCTGACTCCAAGGAGATCAGATGTTAACTGTTAAGGCACACTGACAAGTTTGTACTCTGTGTCCTTTTTAGATATCTCATTCTTCATAAGCATTAACTTGCATCAAAAAGGTTACTGTGCAATTAGACAAGATTCTCTTCAATCATAGTATGTCCTAAGACCTGAGTGTTGCTCAGAGATCCAGGGAAACACAAACCTACTTTAAGGATGAATTCTCCTGCTGATGGCTGATTGCACCTATCAAGTGCTGAATTAAACTTTTTTCTAAATTCTGGAGCAACTGATTCTAACCCTGTAAGCACAGTCTACACTCTGAAGTCCAATTTGAACTTAATTATATACCTATATGCCCATTGAAACACAGAATGAAAATCGAAACTTCTCATTCATAAAACATGTCAATTATTGCCACTTTCCCAGCAGGAATGGCTGAAGGAAATATGGGTCTGCTAATATAGGCCCAGGAGACATATTATCTAGTCTGTTCCCTTCCTAATCCATTCTAATTCCTTAAAAAAAAAAGCAAAGGCCATATTGACAAACCAGTTTAAAAGCTGCAAGTGACTGGAATGTTCTCAGGAGGGAAAAGTAGAATGCGTATTTCTATGGAGGAATAGTCATTGTTGGAATCTTTCCAGTTGCTTATTATTTGGACCTGAAGAGGAGCCACCCCTGGAGGCAAGCTTAGAAAGACTCGCTGAAGTTAAGATTCCAGGCTGTTGTAACCCCAAATGGCCAAGAAGAATTAAGTTTATTTCTTTAAAAAGCTATTGCTATGAGGAAGAAGAGGAGGAAGAACGGTAAGGAATCTGTAGTGTCTGCAGTTATAAAAACAAGAGTGTGAAACAGGACTTGTAAGAGGTGCACCTCTTCTTAAGAGATTTCAGTTAAAAACTCCCGGTCACAGTTCATCATCGTTGGGTATAAAACTTCAGCATCTCTGCTGGTGGCTTCCTGCCTTGACCACAGATTTCTTTTGTGATGACAGGAACCGACACAGAAAAGCAAAAGTGAATATAAGTTTACAAATGTTTCATCCTTTTCCAAGCCAAATGCATCCAGAATACAAGGGATGGGAAGAAATCTGGAATCCCTGACCTGTTGCACGAGTCCATCAACCACCAAAATAAATGAAAATTTGGAAAGATTATGGAATTCTTTGAGGTTTTAAGACTTCTCCTTTTTTTTTTTAAGTGGGGAAGGGTTGGAGCAGAGAGAAACGCGAGGACAGAGTAACCCAGTCCCATGTCACGATCTTCCGCTCTCTGGGCCTTTAAGGACAAGAGCGGCAGGAAAGGGGTTGCTGGAGTTGAGAAGAGCAGGGCTCTGGAGAAATCGCACCTAGGTAAGGCCACACCAAGCAAGGTTCCTACTCCTTGAAGGGTTCAGAGTTGGAGCGATACAGGTCCTTAGCAGAGGCCTGGGTAAGGGAAGGCGGGAAGGAAGGAACGACGGCCGCTGCCAAGCGCCGTGCCCTGCCCGGCCACCCCGGACAGCAGAGGTTCGGAGCCGGGGTCCCGCAGTAGTGCGGGAACTCACACAGCTCGCGGCGCAGCGGGAA